ATTGGAGGGTCAGGACACCCAGGGATAGGGGTATCATATTGGGGAGGGGGCAATTAGGGGATCAGGACACTCAGGGATAGGGGTATCATATTGAGGAGGGGGCATTTGGGGGCTCAGGACACTCAGGGATAGGGGTATCATATTGGGGAGGGGCTCAGGACACCCAGGGATAGGGATATTATATTGGGGAGGGGGCTACTGGGGGCTCAGGACACCCAGGGATAGCGGTATCATATTGRGGAGGGGGCTATTGGGGGKCTCMAGGGAGTTTGAGGGGGTCAGGGATAAGGATATCATATTGGGGGGGGCAGGGAATTAGGGGATCAAGAGGAATTTGGGGTCAGGGAGATGTGGGGAGGGGGTTCAGGGTTGTTTTATTTTTTTTGGGGAGGGGGTCTCACCTTTTCCCTGGTGCAGGCGATAGACCCCAGAGCCCACCGGCGCATTTCCCAGGTACTGATCTTGAGGGAATGAGAGACCGTGGCCTTAGGGATGGGGGGGACCCCCTCCCACCCCCCAAAAACACCTTCCCCACCCCCCAAAACTCCCTCTTTCCTACCCAAAAACCTCTTGAGTTCACACCCTGAGAAAAGGGYGTTAAACTCCCCATTTTACCCCCAAAATCTTTACCATCTCCCCCAAAAATCCACAGCTCCCCCTCCCCAATTCCCACCCCTCAGCCCCAAAATCATCCCAGCAGGGTGGGAGTGCTCAATTCCCCCATTTTCACCCATAAAAACCTTTCCCCCCCCCTTTCTGACCCCAAAATCCCTCAAATTCTCAATTTCTCACCAAACCTTCCCAGCTCCCCACTTAGGGGGAGGACGGGAGTGCCCAATTCCCCCCTCTTCACCCCATAAAAAACTTTCCTTTTATTTTTCACCCCCAAATCCCCCTAAAGTCTCAATCCTTCCCATCCCTCCACTTAAAGGGAAGGTGGGAGTGCCCAATTCCCCTATTTTCACCCCATAAAAAACTTTCCTTTTATTTTTCACCCCAAAATCCCCCTAAATTCTCAATCCTTCCCATCCCTCCACTTAAAGGGAAGGTGGGAGTGCCCAATTCCCCTATTTTCACCCCATAAAAACCTTTCC